CCCTAACCCTAACCCTAACCCTAACCCTAACCCTAACCCTAACCCTAACCCTAACCCTAACCCTAACCCTAACCCTAACCCTAACCCTATATACTAACTTTAAGTAGCTACTTTTAACTTTGCTATTAGCTTATTATTAATAAGGTTTTTTATATATATAAGTCTACGTATAATTTCGTATTTTATAAATTTACCGTTTTAATAATTTTTTAAAAAGGATATTAAAGGGGCTAGGTACTTATATATTTTATATATATTTATTTAGGTATTTATATAGTTATAATAAAATAGTAAATTAGGAAATAAAGTACTTTAATATAATAATCGAGTAGAAAAATAAAAAAATAGAAAAGTAAAAAAGTAAAAAAGTAAAAAAGTAATAGGGTATAGGTAACTTCGATTATCAAAACTAAGTATATAAAGAAACTATTTTAAAACTACTTAAGATTAGTATTACTAATATTTTAATATAAAAATAAAAATAGCGTTTATTAGTTAAAATAACTTAATTATATATTAAAGGTATAAAAGTACTAAGGGCGTTCCGAAGCCTTTATTATTAATATATCCCCTAGGACTATTATTTATTTACTATTTAGTCCTTATACTTACTTTTTACTTACCTTACTTACCCCCCTTACCCCGATCGCCCGTCCTTATGGTAGTAGGTAATCTAGCCGTACCTGAGCGACATAGTGGCGTATGTTTCTTAAGAAATAGCGAGCTTTATGGCGAACCAAACTTGCACAGCCGGCTGATTATTCACTAGAATGTTCACCGTCTAGCCACGATGGTGTTGGATGAACATATAGGTATGAAATACTGCCCGAGTGTGAGCAGCTGAGACCGATCGCACTTGCTCGCGAGATGCAATCGATTGGCAGACGGCATTCGAACAGAAACTGCACATTTCACGGGTGCTGCTTTGATTGAAGATCGACATTTCTGTGATGATTTGATGGCAACAAGGTTATCAGTGCCTTTGTATGTCCAACCTGCAGTCGACACTCACCGTGGCGTCTGAGTAACGGCCTGAAACCAGCAACGTAGCCTAAGCCCCGGTCTTCTCAGCCAAGTTGTCAACATCACCTGACAGACGCGTCCATATTGGGTTCGAGAACGAGGCAGCTGCGGATGCTCCGAAAGGGTGGCAGAGATGAAAATACTGAAGAGCGGCTTAGAATAGAAAGTGGAAAATTTGCCGAGGTACTCGTGATCTCCTAACAGAGAGGAGGTGGCAACAATTATTCTCGAATCCAATGAAGATGTCGCATTTGTTCACGGCTGTCGGCGACCCCTCACTCAGGGAGATTGATCGACGCGGGATGAGACCGCCTCCGTGCTGCAGCTCGTCCAAGACAGCTGCCGCCTATTGGGCACAATGAGAAGATGCGCAAGACAGTGGCTTTTCTGTGAAGCGATCAGGAAGATAAGAATGTTCCGAGAGAAGAAGTCCACAACTCCTAACGTTGGTGAGCATCCACTATTGTATAGAATTCAAGGCAGATGTGGATGATGATGGAAGGTCTGCTGTGATAAGGCGGCCATTGGCCATTCATTATTTCTTTTTGGATGAGGAAACAGAGCGCACTGGTAGAACTTACCGTCGCTCATAAAGCTGCTGTTTGTGGTTGGCTAGAAAAGCATGACACCGGATCCTGGTTTGAGTCTGGAAACATTTTGAAGAATGATACTTTTTTAATATTTAATAATTAAAAGAATTTTATAAATTTAGCTTATTACAAAGCCCGCTAATACCAAGCACGCCGTGACACTATCGTCTTACATCCATAGCTATTACAAGCGGACTGAATACGGCTAAAACGATAGATGAATTCATGAATTAACATCTCGAAAGAACTACATAAAATTTCTCAAGGAACTACATATTAGCCTGCTTATAGATATTCCAAGACCTCGAATGGGAAATCCATTGAAAACAGGCATCCCAATTACCATCGATATCTTCATCCTTTGGGACGTCTTCAGCAATCACCTCCTGATATCTCATTCCCTTAGCGTGTAGATGTGACCTGCGGTGGGTCCACGAGATATTAGCACGACTACCTATCTTCATACGTTTGTCAAAATGATTCATCCTCCATTGAAGCCAGATCAAAGCTCAAGTCGACGTTAGAGTCAAAGGACTTTCGTTGGCGAATGCTTTCGCTCTCGCCCGACTTCTTCCGGTCTTCAACATCTCCAAGAACAGAGCCAGGAGCATCATGGTCGATGTCACAACAGTTGGTGATGTTGGTGCTCACCTTCGCAGCAGCATGACCCTTGGGAGACGATGAGAGAATCTCACCAATAGATTTCTTTGGACGGAGTGTGTTCACGCGAGCGGAAGTGCCGAAATCAGCAAGCATATCCCTTTCTTCCATGGGTGGTTGCTCTATACTGGTGGTGGCGGTGGGAATGCTGGCGTCGGGCTGAACGCTGGTGGAGGGTGGAGTGCTGGGCAGGAGCTGGTTGTTGGTAGTAGACCAGCTGTTACGAGTTGGCTGGCTACTACTCATAGATCGTTTTCTTCGAAAGAGCTGGTTGGTGCCGACTGGCTGGCTGTGGTTGGTCGGCTGTGTGCTAGTGTGGATCTGGTCATTGGTGGTAGACTGATTGCTGCGAGTTGGCCGGCTACTGCTGATAGACTGCCTTCTGCGGGTGGGCTTGTTGCCAGTGATGCTCTGGTCACCAAGGACTTGCTGCTTAATAAAGCTGAGGCGGCTGCTGCCGAAGGGGTCTCCATCATCAGCGGACTGATCATTCTTATTTGGATGATTGAGGCTGTTTTCCAGGCAACTTCTAGCCTTTTTCAACCTCAGAGCGTTTTGATCTTTCCAAGCCGCATTGAATACGACAGAAACCACTGTCCGAACGGTCTTTTTGGCGAATTGCATCGTAGGTGGAGCAATTCTGTGAATACTGTACTGAATGGCGTCCAAGACATCGATATCCCGTTCGTTGTTCTCCTGCACAAGAACCCTGAGCGAGTCAAGTTTTGACTTGGAAAGCTCCATCATCGTCTGTAAGACAGCCTCAGCCACAACAGCTCGCTTGAAAACCAGGCAAGTAGTGTGTTCCTGACCGCTAGCGACGGGCGAATAATGATAAGGGTGGACTTGATCAGTGCCTTCACGAACCAATAGTGTGGCCACTTCATCGATTGCTTTCTGGGCTCTGCATTGAAGGAATGAACCGTCAAAATCGATACCTTTGATGATGAGTTGCCTGAAGCTTCCTAAAAAGTCTTCTTCGCTGACCAGAAACCGAGTTGGTGAGAGCAGTCCACCAATAAAGTCAGGATGGCAATTGGGACTCGGGCGCGAATTCAACATTGTGATGATCCCCAGACTTTCACGAGGAATCTGATCGAAAGACTCATGAATGGATGCTCCTTCACAATTTTGAACACGACTGAGCTGACGATGTGCTAGGTTCAGTCCATATTCCGTTAGGTAGGGATGGGCAACCTTGGCAAGAGAGCTCAGCTGCGGACTCAACGCTCGATACTTGATGTCGATGATATCAAATATGTCAGCGACTTCGGTAGAATATTCGAGTTTCAACAGAGCTTGAAGCGCTGCCTCCGCTAGAACCGCACGTTCGATGGCGCCTGCATTGATAGCGCTCTCAACAGCCTGGAACGGGCCGTCGACCATGCTGCAGAATTCGACTCCCCCAACGGCTGAAAGAATGCTGCCAGCAACAATTCCCACAACGCCGCCCAGCGGACCAAGCAAAGGAGGGCCGTCCCAAACCGGTCTTTCAGCAGAATCAGAGAAAAGCCTCAGAACATCACAAACTCCTTCGCCGTCACGTTGCAGCGGTCCGTTGAGTTCCAATCCACTGGATAGAGAATTATGGTCCATGCCTGATGGTTTGGTCTTGTCAGAACGGAACATACTTTGGGACATACTCAGAAACCCACCAGGACTATATCGCAAGAACTCGCTGTTCGTTAGTCGCGAATCTGGCAATTCGGTACCTGAGCATAAAGGAAGGGCGTTCCTTGTGGAAAAGAGGTTAACTTCGTTGGTGCGATTGCCAAGATAGTAGCCGCTCAAGTTGTTAATGTAGTAGCTGCCAGGCCTACCGTTGTAGTTATTGAGGTTGCCGCTATAGTTACTGCCAGAGTTACCATGACAGGCATTGAAGTTGCCGCCGTAATTACTGCCAAGGCTACCGTGGTATGTGTTGAAATTGCTGTCGTGGTTCCTACCAGAGTTACCGTGAGATGAAGTGAAGTTGCCACCGTGGCTGCTGCCAGGGTTACCGTGATAGTCGTTGAAGGTGCCGCCGTAGCTGTTGCCAGAGTTACGATAGTAGTTGTCAAAGTCGCCGCCGTAGCTGTTGTTGATGCCTGCTATCTTTCCGAAGTCCCTAGCCTTGTCATTGCTCATCTGGTCTCTCAACCTGATTGTACGGATAACGTCGTTGCGCCTGGACCTATGATCATCGTTTCTTCCGTGACTTTCGCCATAAGCCTGGTCATTGCATCCGCCGTTGTGGCAATTTACGTCGTCCATGGTGCACGTGTCTTCTCTGTGGTCATCTTTGTATCCCGCTACGCCGCTATTGTAATGATTGAAATGTTGATCGTACTCGTTTTCGCGGATGTGGAGCTTGATCCGGCTTTTATCAACGTTGGGTTCGCTGACGTTTCTGCCGTTCTTCTTAGCACCGTCACTAGTACAGAAGCCGATTCCATGGCAATTATGAATGGCGTCAATGGCGCCGCGCCTGACACTGTGGACTTGCAATTTGCGAGTCCGTGCAGCAGGATTGACGTTGACGAACTTGATGCCAAATCGGTGTGGATATGGAAAGTGGCCGCTATCAAAGAGGGAGATGAAAGCAACGTAGTTGATACCATAATCGCCACCGATCGAAGTACCTGAGTTCTTCTGGGCATGGCCGCCGCCATAGCAATGAGTCCCAATAGAAACGAATCCTCCATCATTGGTAGCTTGAAGGATTGGTGCTCCAGACTGACCTGTTGCTAATTGTCAGTGTCGTATCAAAGTTAAGTAGGACTAAGGGTGACCCTGCTCACCAGAAAATGTAGAGATATGATATTCGATCATTTTGCGCTCACTGTCTTGGATGCTGTAGTTGACGCGAGTGAATTCTTCGTACATCTGCGCACCCTCCTCGTCATCATCTCCACTGGGATGTTGAAAATGCTTATCGCCAGGATAACCGACGACACCGAGCCGTAATCCGATGCCGTTAGTAGGGGTGTCTTGGAAAGGGATTGTTCTAAGATTTCCTGTAAAGGGGCGGTTCAACTTCAAGAAGGCGACATCATGTGCGCGTTTGTTGTTGCCATTGGCCCAGTGCGCTGTGGTCACCACGTGTTCTCCAAACCTGCCTTGTACTTTCGATGTGCCAACAGAAGCAAGGCCAGAGTAGCCGATGAAGCATTTGATCTCAATAGCTGCCTGCCAGCGATTCCTCCAGTCGTAAACAACGTGTCCTGCGGTTACGACGGTGTCTGGGCTGACCAGCCAACCTGTGCCCATCATCCAGATGGTTTGATCATTGCCACTATTGAATCGAGCTTGAATCTTGACGATTGCTGAAAAGCTCAGCATTATCCAACGTTGTAATAGTGCTGCTGTACAACTTACAGCGAAACTTGCCGCCATCAGCAAAGTCTTGGGGTTCGACGAGGCGACGCTTGTCCTTGCCAAACACCGATTCCATACCGATGGTACCATCGTCGGGTAGGATGGCCGAATCTGCCGGAAGTTCAGGCGTCGAGGACTGCAAAGTCCATATAGCGGCACGGGAGAGCAGGTGGTGAGCCATGTCTACCTTCTTTTTCCCAATATGAAACTTTGATAGCCCAGAGTGAACGACCGTGAAGTAAGGAGCGGTCGAAATTAATTATAATGATGAGGAAACGATGCGCACGGCTGCGACTGTCGCTACACTTTAGCGTACTGACGAAGGAAATTTCTGCCTTCGAACTTTGTCGCTTCTGTTCATGCATATGTTACATGGCTTATGGTGTCTATGCTTGCAGATAGTCGCTTTTATGTACCTCTTTGGGTTCCCACGGGAATGTCTTGTCACATGTGACAGGAAGCGGGAGGCTAGCGACGCATTCGGGGAAATAAGTGTCTTGCTCTTGCCCATGGTACATTCAGGATTCATGTATGTAGCATTCAACACTTCTATTCTTACCGAACTAACGCCACACCTGATTCTCCCCTGACATAATGTCTCTGCCTCATAAACTTTTGGATGGCATGCAAGATTTGACTGACTTGAGACAGAGAGACATGCTTGCAGATGAAATTATAACACGTAGAATGTCATCCTGATGTTGATGAAAATGGATCATTGGTTGATGTGACACTGTGAATGCCTGGTTGGTATGCACACGAGGCAGAAGGGAGGGGTCGATGAATATTACCTCCAAGCTGATGCGGTTGAGACAGAGCCGGTACATCACTAGCTACACAATCATAACCCCCTGCCTTTGAACAAGACATCAATAAGATCAGCGAAGTATCACCAATCACTACTGATTCAGAGTAAAAAGTTGCAATAGAAAGTCGTATTGAAGGGCTGTTGGCAAATGGCCATAGCCTTGAGGCCACAAATTGCAGGTATTGAGATTCGTCATTCAACCAGGAGGCTTGGAGATTGAGCTGAAATACGTCTTTGCCACGGTTTTTGATTATATGGCTTGCAGTGCTAGTAACCCAAATGTCTTTTCTCTCTGGTACTATGGCTTTTTCTTGAGTGCCATTGAATCATGGGGGACTCTGGCCTTGGTCTGTCGGATCTCACCAACCCCCTTGCATGTGATAGTGCATCAATCTGCATCCAGGGCTACGTATTACAGCTAGATGAGGAAGATTTGGAGCTATGGTTTCCAAAGGTTGAGAAGTTTGTGGATGGCGGCGAAGTACATCGTCGCAGTTCGGACTTCATCTAGAACAAAACGTAGTATGACTTACCGTATCGCCTTCTGGTTTCCCTCTTCCTCGTCTTCCAGTTCCTCGCTGATGTGCTCAAAGTCTTTGCATATGGCGCATCGGCCCAGAGAGTACGTCCACCTTCGTGCAGCCGGATTCATTAACAACGGGCCCAGAACGAAAAACCTCTCCTACATCACGCCTGGAGTCTGAGTTTTACAAATCTGTCGAGCTTCAAAGATTCCTAGCCTACAAACTGGAAAGCTTGCCAGTCAAATCCTATGATCTGACCACCTCATGGATGACGATGAAGACGAATCTACCAACGGCAGCTTGCGATCCATACGAACCACTCCTCGCATGTCTTCCACAGACTCACAACATTCTTCGAATAGTACATACAGAGTGCGGGCAGACTGCGAAAACTAAGAATGGAACATCGAGTTACCTCAGACATTGGGTAGTTTTCCCACCAACATTCGTCAAGTTTGAGTTAGCCAAGCAGCATTGCGGTGCGGAAAGAAGTCCTTTTCAGGTGGGACTTGCACACAGGGGTCTTTCTCGAAAGATTGCTATGGTATCTAATCTCTTAGATACGAATGTGAAACGTAAATTGGCCAGTCCAAGACCAGTGTACATAAGATACACCATCACACTCCATGGGTTTACGAGTTGAAAATGCTCGACGTCGCATAATACACATTGCAAACAACTATATAATTCACTGATCAGTGTGAATTAACCAATATTCCTTACTACGACTTCCAGGACTTTATTTTAAACCTCGACTCCCGCATAGGTGAGTAGGGAGATCTGGTTGGTAATCGTTCCATCCTCTCGAAGAGCCTCTCGCGAAACGGGTCCATTAACGTGGATATCAGAAGATCAACCAACACAATGCAAGTTTCTGCGACTTTTGGTTGAAATTTCTGCATTCGTTCAATGTGGTGAGACCATCGCATTCATGCCCGTCACTAAACACGCAATGCAAGAATATTTCGATGGGAGGCTATGGTTGTAAGGACAACGCATCAAAACGTGAAGGGGGTGACATCACACTGTGAATATTTTACATCAAGAGATACTTGCCCTCCATGTCTAGGTAGAAACCTGCCATGAATGAAGATGTTCGATCACTCCTGCCTACCTCCCCGAAGTCCAAGTCTTCAAGACAAGGAATTTGAGTTGGAAATATAGATGCTATGTGATCATAGGAGATAATCTTGTTCTCAGGCGGGCACAGTCCCGCAACAATTACGATGCATCTTTCTATTTTTCCAGATATTTCCAACTAAGGGCGTGATCATGCGTCCTCCCCAGTGTGAAAGGGTTCTCCTCATCCAATACCGATGCCTAAAGTACCTGATACTCTTGTACTAAAACCTTTACCCTGACAATCAAGTACTGTAATACATTTGTCAGTAAAATGTTTCACTCCAGGCATGGGTTTCAGCCAACACCACCCAGCCCATCCTGATATGAGAATTTAGGGTCAATAACACGCCACCAGCGTTCAGCCCGCCACCAGTGTTCAGCTCGATGCCAGTATTCCCACCGCCACCAGCGTTCAGCCCGCCACCAGTGTTCAGCTCGACGCCAGCGTTCAGCCTGCCACCAGTATGAATTTGGTGCTGTTTTACAGCTGCAGAGCTGTCGCCACGCGCTTCAGTTGAATGCGCCCAGCAGCATTCGTTGCCCCGCTGTAAGTCGTATCTGATAGGCGAACGTATTTAACTGTTAATCCATCGATATACGTCAGACTGGCTGGATGGGTCCTTGGTAGCTGAATTGTAAGCCGTTTCTGGCCCTGTCCTCTTACTGTTGTTCTACTTCCTGCCCTTCCCTTACTATTGTCCATTTCTGGCCTTCTCGGATTCTGGCTCTGTTAACGCCTGGGCTTTGAGTACTTGCCGGCTACGGAGGTAAGTTGCTAAGCTATATAAGCCACGGCTCCATACCAGCGCTATAAAAGATGTTATGTATGAAATTTCGCAAAACCCATTACGCCTTTTACTATACAAATCAAGGGAACACGCTAGAGAAAAAAGGACTTGGTTTGGGGGCAAAAGGGAAGATTTTTAACATTTATTAAATTAAAGAATTATTCGGCATTATTAAGTTAATCGCTATTGAAAAGCTCTAAATTATGCTATATAATACTAATACGATCTACCGTATAGCTATTTATACAAGATTTATATATAAAGCAATACTTTTTAAAGGAATAACCCTATCCTAGGCTAATTCTTAGAAGCTTAATCAATATTATCCCAGCTCCAGGTAGTATTGAAAATATTACTGTTTATCTGCTCCTCTAGGGCCATGATGCCTGACCCATTATAACCAATACCAACCAGCCCCAAGTCTAAATCCGCTGTATCCTGAGCTGTCGCTTCCATCTCAAAGTTATCTCCGACAAGTAGCTGCTCGATGGACTCCAAAGGGGAGAACGACTCTAAAAGATTCGCCTCCGTGGTTTCCTCGCCTGCCGGGAAAGTCGCGTCAAAACCACCAAGATCTCCAGTTCGGCTCGATTGATTCATCATTTGCTGCTCGTCCGCCGACAAGTCTACTTGTGCCAGCATGGTTGTGAGAATAGTCCACGTCGCGGTCCCCATCCTATTCAAGTTCTTCAACTTCTCCAATATATATAGCGCACATCCAAGCGCCTGAATCGCTCTCAGTCTGTGCGGAATCCATGTTCGGCTCGTATCACGAAGAAGAGCGGAGCATAAAGTCGATGCGGTGTCGAACGGACAGAATTGCACTAAGAAGTACTTGGAGTGGATTGGGTGGCAGAGGGTAAAGAACTCTTTGCTGATGCGCATGAGATGGATCGCCACTTGAATCGCCGCTTCGCGGAGACTACTTGCCTCGGTGTCTCTGCAATTCGGATGAGGAGGGCTCAATAAATATCGTCGTAAGTATGCCAACAGAGCCATGTATCCCATACAATGTAACTTGATCCTGCGAAACTTGTTCGCAAAGAGATCGCCGTCGCCGATCGCACCGCTCCCGATGGTGCTGTATACAGTTGGCAGGCCACGGATCCAATCATTGACGAATTGAATCTTGGCATGCGGGCTGTTCGCATCGCTCAGAGGGTCAGACAGAAATGCCCAGAGTCGATACTCGCGAATGATGATTGCTGCCGCAGATGTCTCCTCGCTTACGCTGTCTGCAAGTTCGAAACGGGGGTTTGGTGGGGGGACTTGGCCGAATTCTTGTATGATGCGTGGTCTGCCGAACGAGCCGGAGAAAGTCCTGAGCAGGTTACAGTTGTGGTGAGAATGGTCTTGGGGTCATCGAAATATGACAGCAGAGTACTTACGTGTCCCAGATGTTTAATATGTACCACATCCTCCGTCTCACTTCTCGTTCACACGTCGAGATTTCCTGCGCCGCGCTGTCGATATGTAGACCGATCTCCTGTGCTTCCCGGACGGCTGAACATATCAAATGCCACGATCTGGTGACCTCGACCCGATTCTTCAACCACCCGCCAGCAAGAAATAATCGCTGTATGAGCGGCAATCCACCCTCACCGGGTGGTATGAAAGTGCTTAAGCGTTGCGCAGCCTCATGCATACGCATCCCAAGGTGGTCGACCGACTCTCCCAGTTCGGATTCCAGTTTCTGATCCGTGGAAGGCCAAACGAATTGCGTGCCCAGAGCACACATTTGCAGTACTAGACTGGTAAGCGCTACGTCAGACATGGCTTTCGACGCTCGTCTCCCCCACCATGTTGCATAATCTGCGACGAAGGTGGTTTGGTGGATGGCTTCGTAGTGGTAGTTAACGTGGCTGAAGTAAACTGATATGAGGATATCTGTGTATGGTCGGGGAGGCACAGCTCGGAGCGCTTCCTGTATCTCTAGCGGAAAGTCCTTCGAGATGACGGGACTGGAGGAGTGGCTACTCGGAATGATGCTTGCAAAAAGATTGCTGTCCGTATAGCCTAGAGCTTTCAAGGCAGCTGGAATCTCGATGTTGCCAGTGTTGTCAGGATCATTTGATTCAATGCATGCTGGCTTCGATATGTGACATCTGGGCACTCCAGAGTTTGGGGAACCACTCTGCGATCCTGGTTCTCCATTGCCCGTAAGCGGCCTACCGATTCGGGATCATCTCAGCACGGCACACTAACAACACATCAGAAACAATTACTCACCTTTTTGGGGATGCCGAGACCCCCTTTTCAAGATTGTCAAACTGGCACTGGTGTGCTACCCGCCTTGCGAGACAGTGATTACAAGGCCATTGTCGGTCGCATTTCCGCTTGAGCTTCCGGCATTGCAGACAAGCCGAAGCGACTCTGCCGCCTCGCCGAGCTTTGGCGCCTTGAAACCCCCGCTCTCCTGGCGACGAAAGCATTTTGGGATTTGTCTTCGTCAGCGGCGCCAGGTTCCAAAGTTGTGAAGTGTGGTAGGTAGGATGATGTTAGAAAAGCAATCCCGCAAAACTGCGGGGTTAAGATATAGCGTTCAGTCTGCGATAAGCACGGACACCTAGATAAATAGAGAACTATGGGGCAATGTAGCGAGCTTTACGTCATATGTACAACTTTCATCCGCAATGGAGCGGGCAATACGCTCGTAGACGGACGACCCGACTAACTATGTCCAGGGAGCGTGGAGTGTTCTCCAAATTCTGGCAATACAAAAACTGGCATACGTGCCATTCCAAGGGCACTGATGCCTGGGATAGTAGTCCCGGATGGCATGTTCATCTGACATTCACGCCTAGCCGCTTTCTGGGTTCTGTCCTCCCTCGAACAGTCGAACATGTACTCCTCTAAGCTCACCTGGCTCGTCACAGGCGCCAACTCTGGCCTGGGGCTTTGCATAGTCCAACAAGCGCTCCGCCAGGGACACACCGTCATTGCCACAGCCCGATCTCTCGCCAAGTTTCCCGAGAGCCTTCGAGATGCTCAGAACGCTCATCTTTTCGAGCTCGAAGCCACTAGCTCGGCGTTCATCATAACGAAATTCGTCGACGACCTCATCTCCCGCTTCGGCCATATCGACGTTCTCGTCAACAATGCAGGCTACGGCCTCTTCGGCGCGGTCGAATCGTTGACCGAACAGGAAATCCGACGCCAATTCGAAGTGAATTTCTTCGGTGTGCTCAACCTCACCAAGGCAATCCTGCCGCATATGCGCCAACGTTGTAGCGGTACTATTTTGCAGATGTCGAGTTGTTCGGGCATTTTCAATATTGAGGGATCGCCTGTTTATACAGCGAGCAAACATGCCTTGGAGGGACTGAGCGAGGGCCTCGCTCAGGAAGTCAAGAAGTTCGGGATTAGGGTTCATCTTATCGAGCCGGGATACTTCCGAACGGGGTTTGTGACTTCGGCCCTAGAGACGAGGAAGGAGGGGAGCTGGATGACGGAGGACGGGTACATCGATATGAAGGCATATATTACTGACGCAGATGGGTCACAGCCTGGTGATCCTGTTAAAGCTGCTGAAAGGATCTTCGAGCTGGCGTCTTTAACGGGGATGGCGAAGGGATTGCAAGATGAAGTCAGACTAGTTCTCGGCTCGGATTGTCTAGACATGTTGGAGAAGAAAATTAAGCAGTATGAAAAGACTGTTCAGACGATGAGGGAAATTGCGCCGTCGACGGATTACTAGCTATCATACCGGGGAGATAATTGCATTAGCAACGCAACGTCATTGCCAAACAGCGTAAATATATCCTAAGACAGCCAGCATGGGCCGCAGAAGAATGGTGGACTGCTCCGAGAATGACAACGTTGGAAAAGTAATAACAATAGAAGAAAGTGGACGTCTACAGATGAAGTCGATTATTCATAGCTACGGCAAATTACCTATATATATCCTACCAGTTGCGGTATGCCATCGACACATCGGGGTTAGTCTTCTCTAATAGCTAAACTTTCCAATTAAGTAGATTATATAGGCGTTAGACAAAATAATACCTGACTTATTATTTCCCCTTAGAAAAGGTACGTCTCTATGTGCCGACAATATGCCGTAACGAATAGGATACTATGTAATTTGGCAATGCTCATTAAAATAGTGCTGGCGCGCTGCGCAATAGTAATCGCTTATTGTGATTGTCGTCCGGCCATCCAAATCGCCTGCCTGCTTTAAAACGAACTTCAGCGTTTGCAGCGTAATACGTAGCATTGTGATCATGCGGGCCAAGGCCGATGACAGGCGTTTAAGAAACATTTATTTTAGGGATAGCTACCTTAGTTGTGAACGAGAGGGCCTCAATGCGCTTATGCTTTTTCCATTGAAGGAAGTCCAATTATGCTTTTAATTATGTTGGGGAACCTATTTTAAATGTTTTAAAATGGCTCCTGGGCTCGAGGAAGGACTACCTATCTGGGTGCAAGCAAATACTTCCCTGCAAGGGGACAACCTATGAGCCATTGCCTTATCATGCGGGGTAAGGGGAGTTAACTCCGCATTCCAGGGGTCACATCCGGCTTTGCGTGTCTTGGGCCTCGCAAAGTGGATCAAAAAGCAATAACCCTGGCTTCTATCCTAGGCAGTTGTTTGGTAGTACTTGAGATCTCGGCTAATCGTCAGGTTTAGCAGGCTCGTCCCATAGCGGTGTAGCGGCAGCACATCGGGTGATTGCATCAGCCTAGAGGCACTTGGGTAGGTAGAAATATTAGGGAGTTCCCAAAGAAACGCTCGACGGTCTAGCATCGCACATGCCTCGCTCCCAAAATGTGGCTTTTTGCAACTTTGTCGACTTTGCTGTACGCCTTCACGCCTGGAACAGGAGTGGCGGCGATCGCTCAATCGCCACCAATTTTCCCATCGCGTGAGTTTACGACGTAACTCCCAATCCAGCAACGGCAGCCTGCTAACATGGTCCCGAACAGCGCTAGGTCAAGGAAAGGGCATATGGAAGAACGCATATGAGCGTGCATCCAATTTAGTTAGCCAGCTGACCCTTGAAGAGAAGGTCAACATCACACGTGGCTATGCGGGTGATAATACTTGTGCGGGTAACACCGGATCCATTCCTCGTCTTGGGTGGCCAGGCTTTTGCCTCCACGATGCTGGGAATGGTATTCGAGCGACAGACCTAGTCAACTCGTACCCGTCGGCCATACATGTAGGCGCAAGCTGGGACAGAAACTTGACCTACCAACGCGGCTATTACATGGGGAAAGAATTCAAAAGTAAAGGAGGTATGTCCCCCAGGTTCAATGTTGCTGATAGTTTCGTCATTAACTGGTTTTCAAGTCAACGTTCTGCTAGGGCCCAATGCCGGTCCTCTGGGTCGTACTCCACTAGGCGGGCGGAACTGGGAGGGCTTCTCGGTCGACCCATATTTGGCCGGACAGCTAAATGCTGAGACCATCATTGGGCATCAGGAAGCTGGTGTGATCGCTAATTTAAAGGTTGGCTGTCAAGGAGGCTTGCTCACTATACTATGTCTACAATTCACGATGGACTAATGTGTGCCGGCAGCATTTCATCGGAAACGAGCAAGAGACTTTCAGAAGGCCATACTTTGGCGTGGAGGCGGCATCATCTAATATTGATGATAAAACTCTACACGAATTCTATCTTTGGCCATTTGTCGATGGGGTCAAAGCGGGAGCGGCATCCATTATGTGCTCATACAACAGGATTAACAACACATACGGTTGTGAGAACAGTAAACTATTAAACGGGATTCTAAAGACAGAAATGCAATTCGAAGGGTTTGTTCTTCTCGACTGGAACGCAAAGCATACACTAGAAAGTGCCAATGCTGGTCTAGATATGGTCATGCCCCTTGGGGGGAATTGGGGCTCGAATCTCACAAGGGCAGTCAGTAACGGAATCGTGAATGAATCAAGGGTAGACGACATGGCCACAAGGTATCTTACCAACATGCCATTCCCACAACTTGAAGATTACGTGTGGCTGACGTTCGTCAAGAATTCTGGCAGCTTGGTATCTTGTTGGTCAAGACAACGACTTCCCAATTCCTGGCATTGGCATGAAAAATCTGACTGAGCCGCACGATCAAATCGACGCCCGTGATCCTAAGGCGAGGCCAACAATACTCAGTGGAGCTCTTGCGGGCCACGTGTTAGTGAAGAACGAAAATAATTCACTACCTTTCAGCGGGGCCCCGAAGATCATGTCTATATTTGGATATGATGCAACAGTACCTTCGACGAAGAATACCGACAAACTTTTTGAGCTTGGATACTACTCCTCCCCAGAGATGGCTCAGGCTGTACTGGGAACAGAGAGGCATTTTGACCAGGCAGCCAAGGGGGGAACCATTGTCAGTGGGGGGCGTGCTGCAGCCAATGCGCCTTCATACCTACTCGATGTAAGCACCATACTCTCCCAGGTGAGTGTTTTTGAGCTGACGGGGCTCTAGCCTTTGAGTTCGCTACAACATAAAGCCGCAATAGATGGCACTTGGGTCAATTGGGACCTGGTGTCTGGAGATCCCGATGTCAATGCTGCTAGTGACGTTTGCCTGGTTTTCATCAACGCCATGGCAACCGAAGGATGGGATCGAGATGGCTTGCACGACGATTTCAGTGATGGCCTCGTCTTGAATGTAGCTAATAAGTGCGCCAACACAATTGTGGTCGTTCATACAGCCGGCATTCGCCTGGTCGATCAGTGGATCGATCACCCAAATGTTACGGCTACAGTCATCGCCCATCTTCCGGGTCAAGACAGTGGATCAGCCCTTGTCAAGCTCTTGTATGGCGAGGCTTCATTCTCTGGGAAGCTCCCGTATACTTTGGCGCGGAACGAAAGCGATTATTCAGTGTACGCACCGTGTGGGAGGCAGGTCAACACCACCAGTCCCCAGTGTGATTTCACTGAAGGCGTGTTCGTCGACTATCGCGCCTTCGACGAAAGAGGCATCGAGCCAAGATTTGAATTTGGCTTTGGCTTGACATACACAGAATTCACCTACTCTTCCCTACTGGTCAAGACGCAGAATGTCTTGATAGGCGCCGCATCAAATAGCAATGCCTTGTGGGAGGTGATACTGAATGTTGAGGCATCATTCAACAACACTGGCAGTCATGCTGGCGAGGAAGTTGTGCAGTTATACGTCGCAATCCCCAACAGCCCCCCGAAACAGCTTCGAGGCTTTGATAAGGTGCCATTGGAGATAGGAGACAGCACTACCGTTCAATTTGAGCTTACACGAAGAGACCTCAGCATTTGGGACGTTGTGGCTCAAGCTTGGACGCTTCAAGGTGGCAATTATACCATTTTTGTAGGAGCAAGCAGCCGAAATCTGCCTCTTCAATCCTCCTTCACATTGTGATTGAGTGGAACATAGCATACGTTAAGATTGAGCCAATAATAGCGGATCTCACCAATCACTCTCAGATCCTACGACTGGGTCGCTATCGTCAAACATTATTGACGATTTTAACGAAGTTCTGTATCTCCGGCCAATCACTGACCTCGACTTGCGAAAGTCAGCTGAGACACTCACTCTTCGTATTCGACTGATGTATTGCATGTGGTTTGGACTGGAATGGCCTCAATGTTCTGGGGACAAAGGCGGGGACACGATCGCTAGCTGAACGTATGTCTGGGCTATAGACAGAACTTATCGTGATTAACATGCGCAATGAGATATGAAAGGGGTGTTCAAAGCCCGGTGCGTATTTCCTGACATGCTTGGGGTAATTGAACTGGCTGAGTGTCAGACACCAGAGATATTGAAAAGTCCCCTCAATGCAACTAAGCTTTTAGTGGGATGCTTAACACCGGAAAACTATCTGCCTGATTTGACACACAATCAAAGATCAGGCAGTCCAGCTACGTGCGCACACCCGTGGCACGCCACGTACATTTTACTGGCTCGGATGGTATCCTCAACAGTGAAGCGGGCCAAGGCGAGGCGATCAAAGATGGTGCAAATTAAGGGGGATACGGAGCCTAATTCGGCTGAGCTTCTGCAGCCGAAGGCAAAACATGAAAAGTTTGTAGAACGGATGACTTATGGACAACAATCAGACCAACTCCGATCCGGGACATCTGTGGATGCAAACAGGTACCTAAGCGGTCATCTAGTCAGGTTCTGACGATCAAGTCATTTTGCCCAGAGCCTCTCTGTTGTACCGGGCGCCTGGCTTATCGAAAGATACTTCCCTAGCATAGATCTTCCTGCTATCTCTTGACTTCAGCGAATTGGCAGTTTGTCCGCCATTGAGCTGTTCATACTCCCATACTGAAGCCCACACTCTAGATTTTGAGATGAGAAGACGAGATAAACGGTTCTTCGGCTTTTATGTTAGCGTAAATGTACCTACCTATGTGAGCATATCTGACTAGGTCCGTTCAGAACGAGTTGAACCCCACCATTTTTACTAGGGAGATAGCGAAGTACTGTTTGAATAAGGGTTACTTTCAATTAGGCAAACTTCAATTCGAAGAGATGATGTGAATACCCAAAGATTGTCGAAGACCTTGCAATTATTTGCCTCGGAATCCGACATCCCTCCAGGCTCAGTAGAGCCTAGGCCCTGAACGCCAATTCCTGGTGTACCGCGGGTGACATTGTCTAAGCGGCCTGTTACTTGCATCAATTTTTGAAGCCGGCCTCGTGAATTCGCGGCTTCCAATAGGTCGCAGTTTACTGAGAGGGTGTAAAGCATGCATCTCCTGCCAACATAGCCTGCAGGTATAGTGAGAATAACGCGGGGTATTCCCCGTAATACGCGCCATTGGGAACGAATGCATGATTACTGCATGCGGACTGCATTCGCCAACAACAAATACAATGCATATAAACTACGTACGATTATTGGGCTCATGATGTCCCACGGCACCTGATTGACGAATGGCTTTCCAGGGCAACCAATCGCTGCGCAGTTCGGTGTGAAAATGTCGCGAGAGCTTGCTGCGCTTCAACGTGGCACCCACAACAACGGAATCGATAGGTGTGCTCAAGCTCGACCTGAGCCTTCTTAGGGACGAAATTTAGAGCCCAACGACAGAAAATAAGGAAAATTATCGAGGAGGAAATATAAGATGTCATATTTGCGAGTAGTCATCATCACGCCGTAACTCAGGAGCAAGATTATTAAAAGCCCGTCGTGTCATCGTGCCTTCGAACTCTATCTTCCTACCTCCCTCACTCGATCCAGTAGAATTTCCATTAGCCATGGACACAACCGGATGGTCCCCAGCCTCGCCGCTTGATCAGCCGGGCAATCACAACCTAGAGGCCTTTGTGGGACATACACAGGAAGTAGGTCCCGAAGTGTCGTAAGTTTACTCCGATATCCTACATTGGGATCTGGCGTCTTTGGCTAACGACTCTTCAAAGGCCATACGCAAGTCCGACATGCAATGTCTACTTCGAGAGTGGCCAGCCCTTTCGGGTTCCTAGCAACCTTCTTTGTCAAGAACTTGAGAACATACGTCTTCGAAGCCATGGCGAAATACGATTGAAGCATATACCAGATGATGCAGGCCATGTACTCATCCACTTTCTCCATACGGGATCATGGCAAACCTTGCGGGCCAAAGATTCCAGCGACACACCGAAGAATGCCAGTTATCTTGGAACCAGTCTATATGTTTATGCCGCTTCGCAGGCATACAAGATTCCACTGCTAGCCGAGCTTGCCAAAGAACACATTTCCCTCTCCGCTGAGACTTTACCTGCCCTGGAGGTTCTTTCTCTAGCTTCAGATGCTTGTCACTCTCTCGGAGAAGATGACCCATGGTTCTCAGCATTCATTAAGCGGCGTATCCGTCACCTATTCGAAGACTCATCTTCGTTGAACAAAGCCGGTCTCTTAGGGTGTTTCAACAACGCAACAACATACTCTAAGCTGTTAGTAAAGAGCTTGATCGAAATTTGCTGCGATTACTCGATTTCCGTCAATCCAAGCGAGTCTCAACCGTCGCCTCGGATTGGACCCACGGTCACGTCCAAGCCAGTTCCTGTTCCTTGGTCGGAGACAGCTGAGCCAGAAGTGGACCTGAGCGGTGAATTGACCCTGGAATCAGCCCTGGGAAACAGTCTGACATCGACCTCGAAGAAAGACAAGAAAAAGAAGAAGAAGGCTAAGAAGTTGGACGAGACCCTTGCTGAGTCTGACGTGGCGAGTCCCAGAGATGCTGCAGAGTACGTGACCAACGGCCGGCATTGAATAGTTGATAGGCGGTCAAGATATCAAATTGAAGTGCATCGTTCCCAGATTTGAAGTCTTTGTCTGAACCTCTCTCGTGAAACTCTAATGTCCGTTGATATGTATACTCAGCTACCCTAGCGGCCATGGCGGGCCAGTGCAAAACATCAAGTCTAAACGCATGGTAAATGCTAAAGAGTAAAATAGACATGATTGTTTGAGTCTGTTCCCTTCACTGCTGAACATACTACTAGCAGACTAATTTGACGGAATGGGATCAATTGCAAGTGATATTACTTCTTTGCTACAATAATGACAGGCATTATCACACGTCGTGATCATCGTTCCGGACATGATGCTTCTTTAAACAGAAAAATCCACCATCGCCTTGCATTCGCACCTCAAATGAATACGAGAGACACTCTGAGATGTATGGCCTATGTTTGGTCTTCCGGATGGAAAACAAGAGCTCGAACCTCTATGCTTTCTCTAGGTGGTGCATCCGAGCTTGCCGTTGGATCAACGAAAGCAGTGTGAGGGACTCTTCTAGCTCTTCCGTCTGTCTTGCTGTCGAAGCACTTAATAAGAAATACTTCGTTCGGTGTGAGACCATCTTTGTAGTACCACTTGTGAGCGTTGCTATGTCTCACTGCGTATGTCTCTCCTCGCCGATCAGGGTAAATATGTTCGGTTACGACTAGATCTGACTCGGCGACAGACCTGGCGTCCGCAATGGCGAGTGGGTCTCGTTGAACTGTTTTGATGGGCCTCCAAACGTTGATGATTTGTACTCGACCTTTGAGCAACTTATCGGCATCATCTGGGAGGTGGTGAGGAACCCGGGAAAGAGCGGCCTTGTAAGATTGATCAATATGAACTCTTTGCACGGGTCCGCGAGCTGGTCGTCCTTGTGCTGCTGTGCCAGGTAGCTGCCGGCGAATAGTATGGTCAAAGATAAAAACCCGACTAGCCCCCGTCCTACATATAACTTATTAGCTGAGACGAAGGCAAGATAGGATTGGTCCCGTGAAGTCTTTCAAGGATGCCATACTTACACCGCTTTCAGAAGTTCTTCAACTTCGGCGTAGTAGGACGACCTGATCTGATCATCGTCTTGAAACTGCTTTTCAGTCGACCAGCTGTGATGGATTTGAAACCCATTTATGTCGAGAGAAAACTCCTCTTCATCGCCTGTGAGGTCGCTGATCGTCACAGAGTGGGATTCAAATGGCCGGTCATATGTCTCTGGCCTGTCAACATATGTAGGATGCGGAGGTGATCCATCCTCGTTGTCTTTGTGGTAGTTCAGTGTTGCTTCCACTCCCTTGCGCCTCTGATTCGACTCGCGCAGATCATTCGCTCCGTGGCGTTGAGTGCGTTGAGGAGAGCTCAGCCCTGCGGAAAAGAGAACTTTCCGAACCTCTACTGCTGCCATGCTCGGTTCCAAGTGGGATTTGTAGTGGTACTGGAGTCATAGGAGTACATCAATACCAGCAATACGGGCAGCTCAAAAGGTGCAGCAAAGCTCCAACTATAAATCATTTTCTAACAGCCATCTGACCTTTATTCTACCCTAAATCCACATGGTCTCCTCTGGCACGCGATATTTGTCCAGTCATGAGCAATTTGTGGATTGATAATCAAACTCAACCGAATCACGTGGTGTGACCATACCCCAGCACCAATTGGTTCAAGGATTGACAGTGAAAGAGATGATATGACACCCATGCGGTTGTGATTTCAAATCCGCATGGGCATCGCCCTAATTAAGCTCGGTCAAACGTGCCTCGGCCCAGGTTATGGTTGCGGAGTAAAATGGTGTCATCGTTGTAATCTTCCGCATTGATAATCACATATCCTTGCCAGTGCGCCTCATCTGCTGTAAAGAGACTCTTAGCCATTGCTTGGGAGAGATACAAGCGGTAGTAATCCTTCGAAAGCGATTTCCAAGCAAACGTTGGAATCGACACTGAATCAAAAGGCACCTAGTTGAAGTACAATTTGGGTGCGCGAGGGAAATGAGATTACGCTTATGTGCCTAAAATTCGGCAACTTACGAAGGTGTGGTTCTCGATCGGTTTCTAAGTATCTATATGGACGAGTTTTGTGATTGTTGTTCCATCACTCAGAATCTCTTCTGTTTCCTCAATCTTATAACCTCCCCAACGCGGCAAAGCGACTGTCCAGACATACCAATACATTACTCCGGCTGTGAGACTGGTAGATAGCAGCATCAGTCTCAAAAGATCCACGGTCTAGTCAGAAGTCTCACTTACATGCTCACACCAATAATTGCATAAGTGGCGTAAAACAATCCGTTTGGTGGCTTTGTATCCGGCGGGAAAAAAGGGGCCGCAAGTAATGCTATACTCAGGCCGATTCGTAAGATCACAGCTGGAACAAATGCCTTGAATGGGCGTTTGATATCGGGGCGTTTGATGCGAAGCCACAAAAGCCCTACTGCAATGGCCAACGCTAGGATTTGACCGGGATAGCCTTCAACCTCCAGGATAAATGAATAAACGTCCCTAGAGGGAGGCAGCGTAATGACCAGAAATGAAGGAATGTAGTGAACAAAGAGCCCGCCTAGAGGTGAGTTGAAGGGCTTTGTAGATGACAGTATGTCCGAAAACGGAAGAAAGCCTTGTCTGGCAATTTCTTGTTTTGTGCGCGCCTAGAGTCATCGTATAAGCACAGTATCCGCAACAAGCTGGCAACACAGAGAGATCCTACCGCAGAAAATGCGACGACGAGAACATTCGCTCCTGCACTCAAAGCAACTGCCAGAGGAAGGACCCTTTTGCCAACTCTCTCACCGAAGATCCGTTCAAAGAATAGGGCCGCTATCAGCTCGCCGCTCTGCTTTAAGTCAACATACCCACTTCCTGGCACCCCCCTGTTTCTGGCACCCACAAAAACGCGAAAATCCACCACAACCCAATGCCCACCCCCAACCTCCTTTTATCACAACATTTTCAATTCGCGTCCAAATGGGCTCATCTTTTGCACATGTCTTCTTCTATATATAATGCCTCAATATACCGAAGATCAGCTTCGTCAGGCTCTCGAGGA